CACAACAGCCAGGGGCCAGCTGTGAAACAGGAACACCAAATCTCAAGCAGTGCAAATGCCTGGACTCAGATGACCTCTGCACATTCTCACCAAAAGTCAGATTTCACGTAGGGAAAGGAGAGAGATCACTAAGTAACCAGAAACCCAGAGAAGAAATCATGGGGAGACAAAGAAACAGCCACATATGAAAGAAAAGGAGGCATCACCGGGACCGATTTGGCTCAGTGGATAGAGCTTCGACCTGCAGATTGAAAGGTCCTGAGTTCGATTCTGGTCAAGGGCATGTACCTTGGTTGTGAGCACATCCCCAGTAGGGGATGTGCAAGAGGCAGTTGATCGATGATTCTCTCTCATCGATGTTTCTAACTCTCTATCCCTCTCTCTTCCTCTCTGTAAAAAAAAATAAAATACATATTTAAAAAAAAAAAAAAAAAGAAAGAAAGAAAAGGAGGCATCACCAGAAAAGAAAGTACACAAAATGGAGGCAAGCAACATGTCAGAGAAGGAATTAAGAGAAAGAGTCATAAGGTCGCTGAAAAGAATGGAAGACAAATTCAACAATATATGTAAGAACCAAGAGGAAATGAAGAAGAATCAAGAAGAAATGAAAAATGACATTGCTGCTATGAAGAATTCAATAGAAAGCATCAACAGTAGACTAGAAGCAGAGTGCCACATCAGTGAGCTGGAAGACAAGGTAGGAAAAAATACCCAAGCAGAGCAGCATCTAGGGGGGAAAAAATGTTTTTTTTTAAATAGGAGGAGAGCCTAAGGGAACTTTGGGAAACACAAAATGAAACAGCATCTGCATAATATGGGTGCCAGAAGTAGAGGGAACTGAGCAAGGAATAGAAAACTTGTTTGAGGAAATAATGACAGAAAACTTCCCTGATGTAGGGAAGAAAAACTAACAGAAATTCAAGCAGCTCACAGAGTCCCAAATAAAATGATCCCCAAAAGACTGACGCCAAGGCACATTATAATTAAATTAACAAATAATAATGACTGTAAGAATCTTAAAAGTGGCCAGAGAGACAGAAAGTTACCTACAAAGCTAACTTTATCTACATCAGACTAGCGACTGATTTCTCAACAGAAACACATCAGGCCAGAAGGGAATGGAATGAAATATAAAAAATGATGCAAAGGAAGGGTCTGAATCCAATAATACTGTACATAGCAAAGATAACAATCAAAAATGAGGGTGAAAAAAATGAGGGTGAAATCAGGAGCTTCACAGACAAAAAAGGACTAAGAGAGTTTATTAACATCAAACCAGCAATGCAAGAAATGCTAAAGGGTTTACTGTAAAAGTAAGTAATGAAAAGTGAAGAAGGTACAGAGGTGTGAAGAATAAAAATAGTGACAAACAAGTACCTATCAAGAATAACTTTAAATGTAAATGGATTAAATGCCCCAATCAAAAGACATAAGGTGCTGAGTGGATAGTAAAACATGACTGATATAACTGCTATCTACAGGAAACCCATCTCAGAAAAAAAGATGCACACAGACTGAAGGTGAAGGGATACAGAAAGGTTTTCCAGTCGAATGGAAATGAAAAAAGATCTGGGGTAGCAATACTTATATCTGACAAATTAGATCTCAAAGTGAAGGACATCACAAGAGATAAGGAAGGACACTTCATAATACTAAAGGGAGCAACCCAAAAAGAAGTAATAACTCTGGTAAATATATATACACCCAATACAGGAGCACACAAATACATAATAAAAACTTCTGGAGAATATCAAGGGAGAGATTGACAGCAATATAGTTATAGTTTGGGATTTTAATACCCCACTATCACCATTGGACAAATCCTCTAAACAAAAAAATCCGCAAAGAAACATCAATTTTTTTTTTTTTTTTTTTTTTTTTTTTTTTTTTTTTTTTTTTTACAGAGAGGAAGGGAGAGGTATAGAGAGCTAGAAACATCGATGAGAGAGAAACATCGACCAGCTGCCTCCTGCACACCCCCTACTGGAGATGTGCCTGCAACCAATGTACATGCCCTTGACCGGAATTGAACCTAGGACCTTTCAGTCCACAGACCGATGCTCTATCCATTGAGCCAAACCAGTTTCAGTGAAACATCAATCTTAAATGACTCACTAGATCAGATGGAATTAATTGACATCTTCAGGACATTTCACCCCAAAGCCACATAATATACAATACATTCTCAGATGTTGCTAAAATCTTTCAAGCAAGCTGCGGCTGCCCCAAACATATCAATAAAAGGCTCAAGAAAGATGGCTGCACAGGTAAATACCTAACTGCAGCCGCACACAACAATTTCAATAAAATTCAACTAAAATATAAAATGGACATTGCCCAGAGCTACAGGAAGTCGACTGACTGAAAATTCTACAAGAAGGAAAGAGAAAACCAGAAGGAAAATCAGAGCTGTAAAAGCCTAAGGTATGGAGACACGTTGCACACGCGGAGAGGACGGAGCCAGAGAGGAGGCGGAGGCTGCGTGCCTGGCTGGTGTTCTCTAGCGGGAAGGAAACAAAAGCTCCGGATGTGCTGAGCCCCAGTTCCGACTGCTCTGAACCCCAGTTCTAGGCCAGTCCCTGGGGACCCAGCCTCAAACAGAGGGAGATGGGGCTGAGAGGCGGAATTCCAGGGGAGCTGCGAAAAGTAGAGCCCCCAGAGTCGCGCACATTGTGCACAGAGGACTGTCTGTTGACTTTGATGCTAGACTGCCCTGGTGGGAAGGAGACAAAAGCTCCAGTCTGGGAAGAACACAATGAGGAGCGGGAGCTGATGCCTGGCACAAGCAAGCCGGGCGCCGGCAAGGAGCCGGCCCAGGGAGGAGGTGCCACTGGGCCCTCTACCTCTGATCATGGGCCATGGAGCCGAGGCCGGAGGTGGCTTCCTGGGTGGCGCCGACCCCTGACAATAGGCTAAAGCAGCGCAGGAGGCCGCGGAGAACAAAGGGGTGCCACAGGCCAGCCTGCTGAGCTTCCAGGACGAGGAGGAAGAAACCTAAGAAGTTTTCAATGTGAAGAAATCAAGTTATAGCAAAAGATAGTAAAATTACTTAAGAAAGAATACAAAGAAAATCTTGAAAAATCAAAGATTAAGACAGAACTCAACTCAGCAGCCAACACTGCAACATAAATCCATTAAAAAAAAAAAAAAAAAAAAAAAAAAAAAAAAAAAAAAAAAAAAAAAAAAAAGACAATGTTGGAGCGGCAGCGGCCAGGCCCAGAGTGGCCAGGCCCAGGGCAGTGGCAGCCAGGCCCGGAGCAGCAGCAGCCAGAACCACAGCAGCCAGGCCTGGGGCAATGGCAGCCAGGCCTGGGGTGGAGGCAGCCAAGCCTAGGGCGGCCAGGCCTGGAGCATCCAGACCCGGAGCAGCTGGGCCCAGAGCATCAGGGTCAGGAGCAGCCAGGCCTGGAGCAGCAGCAGCCAAGCCCAGAGCATCCAGGCCGGGAGCAGCCAGGTCCAGAGCGGCTGGGCCTGGAGCAGCTGTCCCAGAGCAGCTGGGTTAGGAGCAGCCAGGCCCAGAGCAGCAGCAGCCAGGCCAGGAGCGGCCAGACCCGGAGCATCCAGGCCCAGAGCGGCTGGGTTGGGAGTAGCCAGGCCCAGAGCAGCAGCAGCCAGGCCCGGAGCAGCCAGACTGGGAGCTACCAGGCCCAGAACAGCAAGCTCCTCACCTGCCCATGCCCCAGGGCTGCTTCTCAGACAGGGCTGGAAACTTTTGGGGAACTTGAGGGTCTGCTGAATCAAGTGATGAAGGCTTAGATCTGGATGTGTTGAGATATTATAGCGCTGGGGTGTTGATCTGTGAGTGCCTTGTGTGGGGTCTGGATGAGGTTGGTTGATCTATTTGGAAGTGTCTTTTGTGTGAAATGTATCCTTGGGCATGGGGAGGTATTATTGATTTGAGAAAATGCTAAGTAATTGATTTACTACCCGAAAAATTTAAAGTTCTGAAAGTCTAAGGTCTCTTACCAAAAAGAGGTTTTAAAGCTAACACCTTAATTTTAATGGAGAAAGGAGAGGACAAACCCTTCCCACCCAGAACAGGTTATCCAATTCAAGCCAGCAGCTATCTTTAAACAATGTGTTCATTTACATTTGAATGGCTATGCTTTTTGATAGCCTAAGGGCAAGTTTACATGTAAACAAGTTTGCTTCTCAGTTCCCAGGTCAGAAAAAACAAGGTTTAAAATTATTAGATTTTAAAATTTATTCTTAAAAATATAAAAGTTTATTAATTAAAAAAAAACAAGGAAATTTAAAAACCTGATGAACAATATTAACTTTTGATTATAATAGAATCAGAAATACGGGAGGGGAGTGGACTGGCAATTCTCGAGAAAAGGGGAGTGGTGGATGCGGGTAGAGACTGAACATAAACTGTGCACCTATGGAAAGGGCAGAGGGTTTGGTGGGAACCTGGTGGAGGGGGGGAAAAATGAAGAACCTTTATAATAATATGAACAATAAAGATTGATTTTAACAAAAAAAACAACAGAATATACATTCTCCTCAAGTGCATATGGGTCATTTTCAAAGATAGACCATATATTGGGTCACAGGCAAAGTTTCTTCAAATTCAAGAAGATAGAAATCATATCAAGCATCTTCTCAGACCACAGTGTCATAAAACTGAAAATCAACTACAATAAATAAAAACAATTTTAAAAATCAAGCACATGGACACTACATAGCATGTTATTAAATAATGATTCGGTTACCAAAGAGATCAAAGAGAAAATAAAAAACATCATTGCAACAAATGACAATGAAGACACAACAATCCAAAATCTATGGGACACAGTGAAAGCACTCTTGACAGGGAAGTTCATAGCTCTACAAGCCTAGCACAAAAACAAGAAAAATGGTAATAAATTATCTAACCTTACAATGCAAAGAATTTTAAAGAGATCAATAAGAAATGCCCAGCTTAAGCAAAAGGAAGGAGATAATAAAGATCAGAGCGGAAATAAACGAAATAGAAACAAAACAAAACAAAAAATACAAAGGATAAATAAGATTGATGAACCTCTAGCCAGGCTCACCAAGAAGCAAAGTGGACCCAAATAAACAAAATCAGAAATGAAAGAGGTGAAATAGCAACCAATCTTACAGAAATACAAACGATTATGAAAAAATAGTGGCCTGGTGTGCAAATTCATGCATGGGGGTGGGGAGTGTCCCTCAGCCCGGCCTGCACTCTCTTCAATCTGGGACCCCTTACAGGATGTCAGACTGCTGATTTAGGCCCAGTCAGAACATCCTCTCAAAATGTGGGACAGCTGACTGCTAACCACTTGCCTGTCTGCCTGCTTGATTGCCCCTAACCACTCTGCCTACTGGCCTGCTCATCCCCAACTGCCTCTTCTATCAGCCTGCTTGCCACCAACTACCCACCCTGCTGGCCTGACCACCCCCAACTGGCCCCCTGCCAACCTGATTGTCCCAAACTTCCCTCTCTGCCAGCCTGTTCTCCCCAATTATCCCCCCTGCCGGCCTGCTTGCCTCCAATGGTGCCCCCACTGCCTTACCCTCCTGGCCTGATTGCCCCTAACTGCCTCTCCTTGGCCCCACCACCCTGGCTTTGTCCTGAAGGATGTCCAGGAAGGTCTTCCAATCTTATTAGCTTATTACCCTTTTATTAGTATAGATAGAGGCCAGGTGCACAGGTGGGGGCTGGCTGGTCTGCACTGAAGGAGACCCCAGATAAGGGTGGGGAGTCCCCTTAGGGGATGTGGTGGGCCTGGGTGATTGGACTGGAGTGGTTAGCAGGTCTTCACGCCCCCATTGGGGTTGGGGTTCCTACTGAGGGTGGTGCCAGCCTGAGCAAGGGTTAGGGCAGTTTGCAGGCTGGCCAGGCACCCATGGGGTGGGGGTCCCTGCTGGGGGGCATTGCCAACCTGAGCAAGGGGCTGGGGGACATATTCAGGCTGGCCACACACACTTTGGGGTGGGGGTCCCGCTGGGGGATATGGCTGTCCTGGGTGAGGTGCTGAGGGCAGTTTTCAGGCTGGCCTTACCTCCTTCAGGGTTAGGGGTATCTGGGGAGGCGTGGAAACCTGGGCAAGGGGCTGATGGCCCTTTGCAGGCTGGCCACGCCCCTATCAGGGTGAGGGTCCCTGCTGGGGGCAGGGTGGGCCTGGGCCAGGGGCTAAGGGCCATTTGGGGGTGATTTTCAGGCTGGCCTGCAAACCATATACTTGTCCCTTTTCATTCTCCTCCTCCCTTTCTCTCTGGTAACTGTAAGGTTTGAGGCGCAGGAAACTGACCGCCAAGGTATTTTAAAGTTTATTCCTCAGTAATGAGCAGAACTCATTATGGAGATAGAGAAATCAGAACTGAAGGAGGGGGGAGGGGAAAGGGAGAGGAACCCGGCTGGGCTGCCACCTGGACATGGAGGACCAGCAGCACATGGCTGGTCTGGGGGTCTTTTTAAGGGGAGGAACAGGAGAGG